CTGTCATTGTTGTTGCGTTGGCACCATGCTTGTTTTCAAGCTGGTGGTAAATATATATATTCTATCGCCAAAAAGATCGAGTCGCAATGGGGTCACCCTTAGGGCCAATACTTGCAGATATTTTCATGACAAAATTAGAATCCCGTCCTCTGAACACAGTCATCAATAATTTTGATCACGACTACAGATACGTGGACGATATTTTATGTGTTTCCGATGACAATTTAGACCTCAACGATGGGTTGTTGAACTTCAATATGGCACACTCAGGGATACGCTTTACAGTTGAGAAAGAAGAAAATAACGAATTACCATTCCTTGATGTTAACTTAACGAGACGTTTAGATGGGTCCATTCAGCGGAAGGTGCATCGAAAAGCCACATGAAACGAACAGTACACAAACTTCCATAGTTTTGTACCGCTCGCTTACAAACGTAACTTAGTGCGCTGTCTTCTATTCAGATCAAGATACATCTGCTCAGAAGACACTTTAGAAACCGAATTAGCAGTTGTGCGAAAAACGCTGTCAGAAAATGGCTACCCGGAAATGTTCATCGATCGCAACTGGCCTGAAACAATAAAACAGGTTGTTGCAGACAGAGCTGAGAAAAAGACTTTGATCATCAAACTTCCTTTCAAAGGAGATCGAGCAGCTGAAAGGGTTAGTTAAGTCCTGAGTGCCGCAGTCAAAACAACGTTCAATGCTGCCAAACTCAGATGCGTGTTCTCAACATCACCCGTCATCCGATGTCAGAACAAGGATAAGTTGCCTATGTTGACCTCGTCCATGCTCATCTACCAATTCAAGTGCACCTGTGGTACCACTTATGTAGGTCGTACGACAAAGCAGCTATCTAAGCGCATCAAGGAACATCAACCTACTTGGCTTAGACACGGAGGAATCGAAGTTATTTCCAGTGCCATTGTTGTGCACTTGGTCGAAACTGGACATAGGGTGGATACTAATTCTGCTTTCACCATCATCTATCGCGTCCTACCACACAACTCCAAGGCTGTTCGAATTCAAACGCTAGCAACAGCCGAGGCAATTATCATCCGCTTGTTGAAGCCAGAATTGTGTGCTCAAAAAACACTTGTTCAGGCACTCAAACTTCCCTAGCCCAAAGCGGACAACATCACGCATGAGCGTTGCGATGACGCAAATCGATTATCAACGATTACGTAACCCGTTCTTATCTGAACATGAGAACGAGTGACAAATGTGTCCCTACCCCACCCTATTGCTATAATTATCTGACCTTGACTGTTTGACCCCATCATAACACTTTCCCGTTATTTTCTCACATAAATGTGATTGTACTGGCTTGATAAGGAACTCACGGAAAACATATGTTCGCCTACAACCTGTGTTTTCATTGAAGAATCAATGCTATCCAAAAGTCACCCGGTGTTGCAAACAAGGTTATTGTGACGAAAATACACCTGGGTACGAGTACATGAATGAATTGACAAAAAATAACTGGATGCGCATGCCTGAAGAGTGGCAAGAACTGTGAAACCGGTCGTGTACTTCCATGGAAATTTGTCGAGTGATTCATATACTACTTCTTACAATGTATACACATGTCTGTATAACATTTTTTTAAATAACGGTGTTAATTGTTCTTTTTTTTAGTCCATGTAGTTCTATGAGATTGACCATTGTATTGCAAACGTTTCATCACCAATGAAGGTGACTTTCTCAATGCAGGAATCGATCACTGCATTGAACGTATCACCTCGATTGATGATGAAACCTATGCAATACAATTACCAAGCTCGGCGAACAACTCAACATTATATTTGTATATATTTGAGCACACTCTCAATACATGCATATCACATTTCGTTCCGTGTAATATCGTAACTCGATTGGGGTAATCTAAATACTGGCTTCCCGCAGTGTCTACACGCTTTCATTGTTTGTGAATGCAAGTACGATAGCTGATCACTGGATAGTAATAGGTTTTTAGAAAGTTATGTATTCTAAACTCATAAGTTATCACGGCATCGTTCGTGATTCGAATGGTACCTTTTATATTAGGTATTAGTTTTCATGGGTTCTTCTGTTTTATCAATCAGAGGTACGTTTTTCACTCCCTCTAATCTATCTGCATTCTCCACAGTGTCTGCATTCCGTTCGAAATCAGTTGCTGTCCAGCGCCGCAGTGATCGAGAACTGGCATTCTCTGATCTACCGAGCTCGATTGTATTTGCGTTGTGAGAAACAGTTTTTGGCCGACATGCTTATCGATCCAGATTTTTATTGTCCACGGAACCAGAATCGCTTGTCCGGTCGAATTTCCTCATCTCAAAACGGAGCTCGGAGTAAGCATTTTATTTGATCCGACGCAGTCGATACTTCGCACTCAACCGCACAGATTTGTATTTAATGGGTAACATTCTTCTGTATGAGGTTCGTGTCTTTTATACACACACACACGCATATATATATATATATATATATATATCGGATCATTGTTGGTATCATTCATCAGTGAAATGTACGGATTCGAACTCCGCCAACTACTGCCAGCATCATAGCACTCTAGTGTTGTTTGCTTGGCTCGCACACGCGTCAAGTAGAATAATAACCATAAAAGTAATAATAGTGCTTATTTAATTTCGACCAAATGCAGAAAAGGTGTAAATATTAATCGTTGTATAATCGCGATACTTTAGACAGAAAGCGAGGAAAGAGTATAAACAATCCAGATCGCAAAGGTAACTGCTGCTCTATTGGTTTCCTCAAAGAAATGAAGGTTAGTGCACTTTAGCCTCAACATCATCGTACAGTGTAACACATTGGAGCGGAATTCACTGGTCGCTGTCGAGCCCACAATATACGTTAAGTAATTGTGGGTAGGGAGTGCACCATTTTTGAGGCAGGGGAAGAGAAGCTGCACCTCCATGATCAGCACAAACAGCACACAGTGTAGCACTGCGTACACATCTCGTCAATCAGCCAGTTACAGAAGTTTGGGGAAGATGAATGTCTATCCTACCTAATCCCTTGATACATTTCTTCACACCTCGTCTGTCGGTATTCAAATTATGTTTTCTGACCCGGAGTGACAACTGCGATTAAGGCACAATGCGATGGGGGATTGTTCGACATGCACCATACTTGTTGGAACCAACGGAGCCCACGTATCCCAGTTCTGTGCAACTACAAACTTTTCATCAAAGCATTCATAAATATAAGCTTTACCTTCCCACCCGCTCTGTCTTGTCTGTGTTGAATTCGGTATACGATGAGAAAGGGAGTCAGTGAGTGAACAGTTGTTTTCGAATATTCTTAGTCACGCTCTTGCATATCATACAACGGAAAAATGCTAACGTATTGACAGCCATAGGCTCAATTTAAGGTCATTAATCGAAGACAGAGTAGTAGATGTGTCTGTGTTCTTTCTTAGGGACATAGTTGGGGCCTTCCTTTTCCGGAGATGGTCAAATATTCCTATACATCAACTTTTCCGGATAATCATTGTCCTGCAGCGTTTGCGGATGGAGCGTAGTTCTTCATCCAGTGTATCTACTGAACAAATCTTCCGTGCTCTGAAGGCTGGATACCGCAGTAGATTACATTTGTATCACAAGAACGAAACTATAGAAGTTGCTATGTTGATCATTCCGTGGATCTGTCTTCTCACTGATCTAAGTTTGCTGGACACGGCTACATCCAGAAAGGCCCATGTGTTGTTCGTTTCAACCTCTACTATTAATTCCACTCATGACGTATCTTGTTAAACGATTCGACTGTCTTTGGGATACCATTTTCGCGATCGAGCACACAGAAGGTATCATCCATATACCTACTATAGTGTGCTAATCCCCCAATAATTGAGCTCAGTGTGCTCCTTTCTACTTTAGTCGTCTTCTGTTCATCACACGAAAGTGTGTAATAGCAAAAAAAGGATTTGATCACAGATGAATTCCACTCTCTCCTTCAGGGGTACAAATGTGAACAATGAGACAACATCCAGGGAAAACATCGTCTTTTCTTGCAGACCCAGGTCTTCTATTTTAGCTATGTCACCATTCGCTTACTAGGCCGCAACCTGTGTGCCCCCAAAAGACTGGTTCAAGCGATTCCATCGCTTTGGCCTGGTATGAAAACCAAAACAGAACATGAAATGTCACTTGGCTCAAGTGGGGAAATGTTACATCAACTAGCACACTAAACGTTATTCCACATACACATCCACTACTCTGTCTTCGACTAATGACCTTAACTTGAGCCGATGTCTGTCAATACCTTAATATTTTTCCGTTTTATGATACGTAAGAGCCTGACTAGGAATATCCAAAAACAACTGTTCACCAACCGACTCGTTTTCTCGTTTCACTTCTGAGCTTCAGTTTTGGATTTACGCGCAATCATCTTCCCAAATGCCACTGTCATTCGTCACGCAGCTGCCAATGCAGGAGGCACAACCAACTCCAGTTACATCCCGACAATTTTGGTCGGAACTTAACTTAAATTACACGATTCTTACGATATTCTGTCTAAATTTTGAAGGTGGAAAACACACCTCAATCAGGTTAATCTGTGAGTATCACCAAAGTAACGGGTACATCCAACTGCAAATGGGTCCTAAAGTTGCCCTTTCTAGAAGTAATCGCCTAAGTATCAGCTAAAGAATCGACTGCAAACACTACTCATCAACGTAAATGGACCTCTGTCGTACATCGTTCCCGTGTTCCCCACTTCTCCGAGTTTATACTTTACCAAACATATCGCGGTTATATAATCATAATAATAAAGAAATCGGTCTATAATCTGTTCGGTGGTTAACGTGGGTAATGTTTTGAAGAATTCACAACCGGGGTTTTGGGCTATCCAAAGGTTGTGAGAAACGCAATCTACTAGCAACTGATATCTGGTTCATCAAAGCACACCCCTTTCGTTGAGGTTAAACTACCAAGGTGCTTAATCATGCCATTGACCTTTACCAGATCTAGACTTTGACTTGTGCAGCTCTTCTTGGTCATTTTGGAGTCAGTTTTTATCCAACTGGCTGTAGTTCACCCACTCGGTTACTTAGCCCCTGATGTTTTCTCTCACTGAAGTAGTGTTAGACACTACATTGCGTGAAGTCATTGTGTAGTACTTTCTCAGTAGACCCTATTTAAGATATTTGGGAGCATTTTGCGAGATGCGATCAAAGCGTAACACGTTCCAACCAAAGACACCTAACTGCGACCATACTCATTCAGGTTTTCAAAGATCACTTTTGTGACTGAACACGCAAGACCTTCGAAAATTGTATCTAATAACCACGGAGTACTGAAACTTGTGCACTATTATTGCCAAGGAATCGTATTTTGTGGTCCAGTTGTCCTGTTGCTCAGTGCTTTTATCCAGTAAACAATGACGTATTCATCAACTCGGGTCCTAATGCGTGTACCTATCAGGTAAAGCACTCCTACCAACTGATTGATGTGAACCTTTAAAATCTGCTCACTAACCTCATCTGCAGTGAACCTTTTCATACCTTCATGCTTCTTGGGCCCAGTTATGAGCTCCAGTCTTCCTTGGACGTGCACCGCCACAAACTGCTTCACTTCCGAACACTCACTGAACTAAACACGTTCATCTGCCTCCCTTCGTTGCTGTCGGTTCAAATGAACTGACTGACTATCACTGAAGACAACACCTGAACAAACATGAATTGGCAATTTGGTTCAGCCATGGCTTGAGCTGTTTGGCACAGTGGTAACACGCACGCCTTCCATGCGATGGGTCCGGAGTTCCAATCCCGACCTAAACGGTGGATATGCACTACTGATGAGTTCCGATAAGAGTGAAACTTGAGTCTAGTGCTTCCCAGTGTGTGATTGAATCGATGAACTAAGTAAGGATTGTGCATGAAGGTGAAGTCTGAAGGATAGTCAGTCAAATCAATCAACATTCCAATAATGCGAAACGTTGGCCTCCACAATCTTCTCCCTCACAGTCCCATTGCAATTTTCTTTGAAAAAATTTTCCAAGCTCTAATCGTCGACATCGTTACATCATACTTGGTTTCTATCCGTTGTGATTATCGCGAAGTCCGTCAGCGATTGAACTGATTCCTCGTCCTCCGTTCACTGGAAAGTATCGTCCCATCACCTGCACGTCAGTCGTGCTCAAATTATTTGAGATGCTTGTTACCGTGGTTTGTCACTGAGTCTGAAGAAGACGACATACGTCAATNCGCATATCGCTCTTCGCGCTCAACATATGATGCCGTTGCACACCTTGTTCATTCAATAATTTCGGCACTAGATAAGAAAATTAAGATCGTCAGAATGATGTTCTTAGACTGCAAAAACGCTTTTGGCGGTCTTGATCGATCGGTATTGCTCAACCTGGTTAGCGAAAGTGATGTTAATCCAAACGTTAGCAGATTGATTTGCGATTATTTCACAACTGAAAGGCAGTTTACGTGCCTGAACGGCAAAAAGTCCGCCACTCGCCCAGTTTCTTCTGGTGTTCTGCAAGGTGCAATATTTTCCCTATTTTTCTTTTCAGTGTATGTCAAACAATTTCCTATTCCTTCTGCATTCACTGGCTGTAACTACGCAGATAACGTTGTTTCAGGTTGCAAATCATCCATCCCTGAAGAGGCCTTAGAAGTTCAAAGCAGTCTAAACGACGCTGTTAATTGGTCCTTGTCCCCTTCCCTCTCATTGAATGCCTCTAAATGTTAGGATGTTGTGTTTTCCCTCTTGGCCGATTTACCATATTTAGCCCTCACAGATAGGTTCCCCACCCTCTCTGCTAATCAACAACCCGTACCGAAATCAACAGTAGTAAAATACCTTGGCGTCACCTTATCACACAATTTGTCATCGTCACTGCATGTTCAAAACACGTTCTGTAAAGTTAAAGCTTTCATATTTCTCACTCCGATTGAGATTACGTTCTGTTTCCAATAAGCTGATTGTTAGGTTTGTGAATGCATGCGTGCTACCCCACTCGTTGTATTGCTCACCAGTGATTTTCCCGGTATGTTGAAGAAAGACTATTGTTTACTGGCCAGATCTCTGAAACATCTCCAAATGTAGTGGCATTGTCAAGGATAAACTCGCGGATTCTATCATAGACAGACACCTACAAGCATCTGAAAGTTTCACTGCCAAAATACTCTCAGACACTCACCACCTATTACACAACGAATTTTTAAAAGCTGTATTAAAATCATCCAAACGCTCTAGATATAAGCTTTTATTTGCACGTACCTCTATTTATCGTAATTCTGTTCTGCCATATCTAGCACGTCTACTTATTGACAAGGAGAACATTTCCACAAAACTGCGCAAATACTTGCTTCATTGACAAACACAATCTGCTACTTTCAGTTTCATTATGTAATGATTTTGTAAATTTGAATCAATAAATATGGTATAACTGCTGAAAATTCACCCATTCGAGTGCATAAAGCTACTACTGACTTGATTTGACTTGAGCGTGGGATAATGCTGGCTGCTAGAGGTGCATTGAACACGCTTCACTTTCACATCCATACCTTGGAATCCCCTGTGGTCACAGCGTTAATAGATCGGGAAGCTAGCGGCCAAACCTTGTGCACGAACAAGTAAGACTAGTGACAAATGGGGTATAAGACAACCGTGGTGATGGTCGACATCATCACCTTTCAGGTCGGCCATAAAGGATGAACAGACGCCAGTCCTGATACCCATGTACTTTTTTCGCTACAACAAGTAAATGAATCCACAGATCATAATGCAAATGAGGTTCTGTTTCCCCGTTCATCGAGGCCACAAAGTATACTAGTGATATTAAAGACTCAGCCCATGGAAAATTTCTCCAGTTTCATTGCGGCCCACTGGTTCTGTGTTGAAATTATTTAATTGCAGTCCTACATATAGCTATTCGTTCTAACCAATCCGGTGTTTCTTTTCGTTTAAAAAATGTGTTCATTGTTGTTCAGAAAATCTGGTTCTAACAACATATGCCAAGTTACGCAGAGTCTCATCACCAAAGTATACTAGACGCTAGGAGGGCATGTATAGCATTAGAAAAACTTTAACCCATACTTTCTGATTCGTGCATTTTCGTTGGGTGGTTTCAGTTAGTGTTTCCGTATCGATAGACGGCAGCCAATTAGAAGTGGACATCTGCGGTCAATGTGTTTAATTAACTGGTCCCCGGTCACATTTATACACTTGCAATCAGGCAGACCGCTTGGTAGGGATCATGGTAAGGTTGAACAACTAACATGTCACTCGGCTCGGTTTTAGTTGTTATACAGAGCGAATAAACAAATAATTGCTAAACTACTTTTCTATCCCATCAAGCACTTGCAATCGCAAAATCATAATGTATCGGATTGCAGTCGACCACGGTCATATTCTCAATAACTTTTGCGGCGTCCGTTGGAACCCATTTCCCGGAACTTTATTCCGAGGGCACAAATTAGCTTCCACGTTGTTTCGTGTTATTTGCAAATGAATCGTTTTTCTCTGGTTTATATCAACATGGGAATTTCAATTTTTCGACTGACACGACGCTCTCTGCAATTTCCATTTTAT